AGACTCAGTTCCCTGATACAGTGAAACTTCATAAACTCAGATGGTTCACTTCTCTCCAGTGAAAAATCGATTTCATTTTGTTCAACCTCAAACTGCTCACTGAGCTCAGTAAATAACTGTCCAAACAGTTCACGTTCATTAGAGTGATGAAAAGTCCTGTGACCCGGTTGGAGAGGTTTCTCGGGAGAGGGTCTTACAATGTTCAGACTGGGAAATTCCTGGGGAGATCAGGACAGGTGGGTCAGCATCCCGAGTGCTGACCTCTAACTGGCTCCGGAGAGGGGGCATCACAGGAGACGTGGTGGAATTGGAGAGACGAGGAGAAAGCAGCTGGATGAGGGAGTCTCCAAGGTGGAGGGCCAGACCTCCATGCTGCCCTGCCCCTATGAGACCAGGTTCGTCCTGGGGACGAGGATGGCCGTGCTTTCCTGTCTGTGCTCCGCACCTCCCTTGAGACTCAGCCCTTCTCCACATTGCCTCTGCGAAAGGCTTGACTCTTCCGTAATGTCCACCTTGTCATCTTGACTTTCTGGTTTTTTTTTTGTTGTTGTTGTTGTTTTATTTTTCAGCCACACTGGATTCAACTGATGGGCTTCCCTGTAAGTGCACAGATATTATTTCATCCTTTCCTGCTCATCACACAGAGAAGTGCTTGGGGGTTGCAGTTTGAATAGTTCTCCTGGAAACACTGGTACCGGTTTACCATTTTGGTCAAAGGAACGTGGCATTTCCAGAGCTGACTGTCGGCCTCGGTTTTAACAGTCCTTAGGGTCCCATACCCCCTGACCTCTCATGACTCCCACCGTGCTCCTCCTCCCCTCCCCACCTTCCCTCCTCCACTGCCCACAAGCCTCCTCTGCCCTCCTGCCCGAACAGCCTCACGAGGCAGGTGTGGGACCCCCTCTCCACAGCACAGGTGTCTCAGGATGACGGAACCGCCTCCAATGGCCAGAGCCTGGAGGGCTAAGGGGCATCACCGTGTCCAGGCAGAGGGTGTGCTGGCATCAGGAGGGGTGCTGGGCAGAGGGACAGGCTTCCTCCTGATGAGAGGGCTGATTGATGATTGATAATTGATCGATTGATGATTGATTGATTTCCCTGGTGACTTCTGGCCCAGGTACTCGCTGAACATTTTTTATAAATAAGAAGTCTTTTGATGATAAACACCCCTGAGGAAAGTACTGACTTTATCCTCACTTGATGAAAAATGTTTCATCATGCAAGTGTGAAGTTCTTCTATTTTCAGGTGTCAGAACAAATTGCAGTAATGTGTGTGGGTTTGCTATGTTCTGCAGAGTACAAGATAAGATTCACTTTTGGGGGGCTCCAGACTTAGACCCTGGAGGTTCCTTTGTGATTGACAGAAGGGGAAGTTAGGACCAGGTACAGTGGTGTGGCGCCCAGGGGTAGGACCTTCCCCGCTGGCCTGGTGTTGCTCCTGGGCACCTGGAATTCTCTCTTCAGTTAAAGATAAAAATTTGTGTGGGGGCTTTTATGAAGAGGAATATGGAGTGATCCTCCCCTATCTGGGACTGCACACGGAATGCCTCTGGATCATCAACATGGACCCAGGTTACAAAATTCTTTTGGAAGTACGCCATCTCTAGTAAGTGCTCTTTGCTGATGTTGTGGCTTTATGGGAAGGTGTCCCTCTTTGCCCCTTCCCTTTCCCCCTGCACCACCCAGCACACACATCTGGACACATCCTGACTCCAGCTCACTCCTGCTGGCGACTCTGCATGGCCCCCTGCCCTCTGCATAAAGCGGACCCTCCTTGCATGGCTTTCAGATCCCTCCAGGGGACCCCTGATCTCCCCTCCCTTCTCACCTCTTCTCCCCCTGCCCCCTCTCTGAGCTGAGCCATCACACTCTGAGCTGTGGGCTCACCAGACTGTCGGGCAGCTCTGAGCCTTTGCTCACACTGTCCCCTCTGCCTGGAAGGCAGCTCCTGTCTCTCCCAGACTCACCACCTGCTGCTTAGGGTCCTCATTTCCTAGTGCATGATTTCACTGGAGGAAGAACGTTTCCATCACACCTGAAACCCCTGCTCTGACTCTGTCCACAGCTGGGCGGATCTTTCTCGGATTTGTGCCCCATCCATTAATCCGTGCACAACTCTGGGGGAATTGGCAGCATAACATCACTCCTGCTGATGTCTAAATACGCTCTAGAGAAAGCAGCCTAATTTTTGGGGGGTCAGGGAATAGTTTTTTAACTAATGAATGAATAAATGAGTGAATGAACCATTGGAAGAAAGAAAGAGTAAATGAATGATAACAGGAAAAGTGAATGAAATGATGTGGCAACAGAAAGCATTTCCAACATAGCAATAAATTACAGCACTTCTATAGCAGGTTAGTCTTCATAGATACTACCGCAGGAGCCACATTTCTATGGCTGGCCACATGCAGTCCAGGGTGGTAGTTGAGACAGGTGATGTTATCTTGTGACTTAAGGCCCTGTCCCTCCAGACCTTCTATGATGTTAGATCTCCCACTAGTTGGAGGAACTGCTCCGTGTGAGGAGGACAACCTGGAGATGCCTGCCTCACTGCAGGGCTCAGACCATCTACCCAAAGCACACGCCAGGGCAGAAGGAGGCAGGCATCCCCTGCATCATATTTCTGTTAGGGTCAGAGGCACAGATTATATGAAAGCTCCCCCTGACTGGCCTCTCCCCTTTGCAGAGATTTGTTTTTATTCTCACTGTCCTTGGCACCAAGGAAGGAGTCAGTCTATGAGCAAACTAACTAAACAGAGGAGGGCACAGCTAACTAACTAAAGGTTAGCTAAACTGACTTAGAGAGTGTCAAGGGTGTGTCCTGGTGAGATGTCCCTTCCGGGTCTCGTTTTAGCCCAGAGAGGCTCCAACCTCCCTCCTGGGTGGGACACACACTGGGGGCTGAGAGAGGAAGACAGGGTGGGGTCAGGTCTGATGGGCAGGAGGAGGAGACGGAGACCTCAGCAGGAGTGTGACAACCCGTGTGTGCACTTTGCCCACATCAGGGAGAGCTGGTTGCCCCTCTCACCCTGCAGGTCCTGGAGGCCAAGAGGGGGTCCTGGGCCCCCTGTGCTAGGGGTGCAGAGGGTGAACCAGGAGTGGAGTCACACACTCATATCTGAGCCTCACCTGACTCTGTGCTTATCCGTGGAAACAGTCCTCGGTGTTGGCCGTATGGAGCCCTCCATTGGGTCCTGATCCCAGAGGCCTGGGTGGGCTTCCCTGAGCCATCAGTGGGGCTTCCCAGGAGATGTGGAGTTGTGTGAGGGGAGGGTCCTGGGTGATGCCCCTCTCCAGAAGGGTGAGTCTCCTTTCCTGTGGGCATCAGGTCTGAGAAGTCTGGTGAGAAAAGCTATGTGATTGGGTTGGGTCCAGGCGGGGGGGCTGCCTGCCGGAGGGACCACGATTCCAAAGGCTGATGCCTGCTTTTTCCTCTGCTCCAACAGCCTCAATTGTGATAAAGAGTCTCTGGAGATTATAGATGGGCTGCCAGGATCTTCTAGCTCATGGAAGATTTGTGAAGCTTCATATGCGGAATACACATCTTCTGCCAATATCATGACCATCAAATACACAAGAAAGCCCAACCACCCTGTCTCTGTCTTCTTATTACTTTTCCACCGTGTGTTGTAGGGTAGGTTTTAGAGAGCAGAGACCTTCTGCTCTGCCTCACCCCTGTCCGTGAATGGCTCCACAGGAGCTAGGTGTGTGGTACTTACGTGACTGTTGAAATAAACTTGACCTTCACTGGGTGAGTGACAGGTAGGGTGACCCACTGAGGCTCTCCAGAATCATCCACCAGTTCTATCCCAGCCTTTCTGCAAACCCCAGGATTTTGAGTTGGAAAGTCCTGATATGAAAATTCTTTTACAAATTTTATTTTTCATCTCAATGATGTGAAAATTTCCTCCCAAATGTAAAATTTCCCTTCTTGATCTTTTTAAGAATCCCTTTGGCATTTTCCAATAAATTTATTTTAAATTTAAGGTGCAGATAGTGTTGCATGTGTGTGCTCAGTTGTGTCCGACTCTTTGCGACCCCATGGACTGTTGACCGCCAGGCTCCTCTGTCCACGGAGTCTTACAGGCAAGAATATTGGAGTGGTTTGCCATTGCTTCCTCCAGGGGATCTTCCTGACCCAGGGATTGAACTCGCATCTCCTGCGTCCCCTTCATTGCAGGTGGATTCTTTACCATTGAGCCATCAGGGAATATACAATACATATATATAAGGTCTATAGGTGTATAGTAAATATGTAGATATACAGCAGATATATATATATATATTATATATGTATCAGTTCAGTTCAGTCGCTCAGTCATGTCCGACTCTTTGCATCCCCATGAATCGCAGCACGCCAGGCCTCCCTGTCCATCATCAACTCCTGGAGTTTACTCAAACTCATGTCCATCAAGTTGGCGATGCCATCCAGCCATCTCATCCTCTGTCAACCCCTTCTCCTCCTGCCCCCAATCCCTCCCAGCATCAGGGTCTTTTCCAATGAGTCAACTCTTC